CGCCAGCCGTCGGCAAAATACTCGCCCCATCGGCAGGATACGACAAGCGAAGTTCAGCTTACCCAGCAACGACTGCAAGGCTCGTAGCTGAATTTTCCGCTTGCCCAGCACCCCACGAATTTCCCCTTGTAGGGCTAACAATTTGTCCCCTGGCAGCCGGCACTCCATGGCATCCGAATCCAAAACGATGCCCAGAAAAGTCATCACTGAAGCTGGGCCCTCAGTCTTGTCCAAAGCCAATGGAATCCCGAAACGGTCAGCAACGTGTTGCAACGTAGCCAACAAAACCGCGCAAACCCTGGAAGCGGGCGGACCCACGCAAAGAAAATCATCCAAGTAATGGATGACCGAATTTATCCCGGAGACATCCCGCACCACCCACTCCAAGAACGAACTGAACCGCTCAAACAAAGCGCAAGAGATCGAACACCCCATGGGAAGGCACTTGTCAACGTAAAACGAGCCCTGCCAATGGCACCCCAGAAAACGAAAACTATCCGGATGTACCGGCAACAAGCGAAATGCGGACTCAATATCTGACTTCGCCATAAGCGAACCGCGCCCATAACGACGAACCCAGAAAACTGCCGCATCAAACGATGTGTAAGACACCGAACAGGACTGCGGATCGATGGCGTCATTAACCGACCCCCCTTTGGGGAAAGACAGGTGATGAATCAACCTGAACGAATTCGCTCCTTCTTGGGCACCACCCCCAATGGTGAAACCACCAGATCTGAAAACGGAGCGCAAGAAAACGGCCCGCCCATACGTCCCAGCCCCACTTCCTTACTCAACTTCGCCGAAACCACCTCAGCATGCTGCACCGCCGACCGTAAGTTGCGAGCTAAAGGGGGGATCGAAGTCAAACTACACGGAATACGAAAACCCTCCGAAAACCCCGCCAACAGCAACCCGGCGGCTGCTCGATCCGGATATCTATTTAGGAAAGGCCGCATCCTTTCCACTTTCACCGGAGTTGTCCCTCTTACTCGCATGCTCTCCGGGCAGGCCTCTACCCCGCTTGAAACAGCGCGACAAAGGATGGGAGCCGCCGCAACCTGAACACTCATGTTTGAAACGGCAGGACCCCCCGAAACGACACGCGCCCTCTTGGAACTGCCAACATACACCCCTACGCTTTGAGGCCGATTGTCCTGGGGAGAATGAACCACCGACCCCACCCTGAAAAAACGAACCGGAGCCCGCACGGGAGTCATGAGGCGCATCCAAAGGCCTATGTCCTTATGGTCCCAACGCAATGAAGGGCGAACAGCCCGCCTCTGCCGAAACTGCTCGTCGTATCGAAGCCATGCGGTCCCACCGTAAACCCTGTTAGCCTCGCTAATGGCATCCAGGTAACAAAAGAGAGCTGAGCAATGCTCAGGAGTCTTCTCCCCAATGACACTGGCCATGATCGCAAATGCCTGCATCCAATTTGCAAATGTCCGCGGGATAAAACGAAAACGCCGCTTCTCAGCGTCCTCACGCCTACCCTCGTCAACCCGCGACCCATCTAACGGAAAACGCTCCAAAGGCAAGAGCGTGAAAATGTCCACATACTCCCCTCTCCAAATCCGCTCCCGAACCTCCGACGGCAAGTGCGCACCCAAAGGGCCCTCAAAACAGACATATATCTCACCCTTGGCCGAGTCCGCCACGCCTACTGTCCCAGAGACCCCAGCACCCCCCTCTACCACCCCGGAAACCAGAGCACCTGTTTCCGCTGTAATCACCCCTGGCGCAGAACCAGTAGGGGGAGAAACCCCCGAGCTCCGCCTGTCCCCCCCCCCCCCTGCTCTAGGACCCCGACACCCGGCGGCGGAAGCCACGCCGAAGCAGGCCCAGGGGCCCTACCCTCACCCTGCTCAAAACGCCGCAACAAATCCCTCAGGCCGAACATCAAATCGCCGAGACCCCCCCCTAAACCTGACGCGGGAACGCCCACATCCCTCTCCGCCGAGGCCGTGCCCCCCCCCCCCCCCCCAACAGGTCCCGAAGCGCAGAAGAGAGAATAAAATAGGGAACTCACCAGGCTGCCCAGGAGATGTCCCATCAGCCGCGCTTCCCGACTCCATCGCTGCAGAGCGGCCAGCTGTCACCCCCGCATCGGGTTCAGACAGCTCGCCCTCCGATCTGTCGACCTCCTCTTGACGGCTGCATGGCCTCCCCGTCCCAGGAGCCACGGGTCCCTCCGGGCCGTGCCGCAGCCGACTCCGCCTCCCGGCACCAGCCACGCCCCTCGATGTCCCTGGTCTCCGTCCTGTCACGATCTCCTCAGCACTCTGCCCAGAGCCGCCCTTCTGCTGGATCCTCTTCAGAGCCGCCGCTCCATGCCGTACAGGAGGCCCGCCGACTGCAGCAGGGGACAGCCCGGCAGCCGCAGCGCTCCGTCTCCCACGTTGGGCTCCCTCCCTGGCATGCACCTTGCCAGTGGAGGAGCCGTTACCATCCCGTCTCCGTTGCCGTGCGGGCGGGGGGGGGGAGGGGCTTCCTCCGTGCGAAACCCCGCCCACCGAGCTCCGCCGAAGCAGAGGATTCCTCCCGGCTCCCCCGCGAGCAGAGGCCAGAGAGTGCCCTGCCTGCGGGGCCGGAGGGTCCCGTGTGGGGCTCCTGATGCGGCGCTGAGCTCTGGGGGGTGGGGAGTCCGGGCTGAAGCGCTCCGGAGGCCGAGACCTCCGAGCACGTGGGCGCTCCCGCCCCTCTTCCTCCGGCAGTAAGCCCGGGCCCTGCGATAAGCCCGGGTCAAGGGACAAGTCCGGGTCCTGCAAAAAGGCAGAGACCCGGCTCTGCAACCAGTCTATTCCACGTGAGGCTGCCGCCTCACGCAGCTGGGCCACCAGACCATCCATAACAGCCCACTGTCCCAAGGAAAAAGGCCCTGATGATGCTGGCGTGGGTAGGGTGTGAGGGGAGCTCACTGAAGCTCACTCACCAACGTCCAGCTTCCGAATGACCGCCCCCCACCCAGACCACCCCACCCAAAGGTGCCAGGAGACCACCCACGTTCTCCCTCTACCAACCAGCTCCCACCTATACATTTTCAAACCCCCTGCACTGACTTAACCCTTTCTAGCCTTCCTTACCCACTCTAGGCCTAGTCATGCCTGCCCTGCGCTACTTTTTTTTTTTTTTTGTCGCCGATGTGACAACGCAACCTCTCGCTGTCTGTATTGCCCTACACGCGTTTCACATGACTCTGTATCCTCAGGGGTCTCTCTATTTCCTCTCTATGAAGTATTTTCTAAAAGGGACTTAAAAAGCATTGGTATATTTATAAGGACTTTAACACTACTAGTGAAACAGTTTTTTGGACTTTTTTTCAGTGCTGCAATTCTTATTCATTTATTTTGAGTTAACCTCCCTAGCGGTCTGATTATGTCCATATTTCTGTGCTCAAAAGCGGTACATTTTTTTGCACGGAAATAGTTTTTTTTATTGCAGGCCTGTAATTTTTTAGGAATAACTCACTGAAATCTGTCTGAACAAGAGTCTAGTAAACATCCCGGGTATGTTACAATTTGAAACACGAAATCATAAATTATAATTTAATAAATAATCATAATAAATAACAATATAATAAATATAATTCAATAATATAATCAAACCAAAAACACTGAAATTTGAAAAAAGTTCGCACATCAAAGTCGCAAAATCGTTTTCAGTGTCTGATGACGAATTTCCCCACGAATCATTATCACTCAATTCTGCAAGTAGTTCTGATTTACTAATCGCTGTTCTCTAGCTGGTCTAAAAGCGATTTTGACCTAAAGTGACGCTTTTTGGACTCCATGCCATGGACATTTCTCAGTTTCCAGGCAGAAAGAACAGTAAAAAATGCAGGCAGGGCACAGGACAAAGCACTAGGGACAAAATGTATGTGAAATGCTTTGATACAGTAATGTTTTACTATGTGATTTTAGTGAATTTAGGGAAATGTCACTTTTAAACTTTTCAAATTTCCCTCCAGTTCCGCCTCCTGTACATCCCGACGCTCGCAGGGGACGGAACCCAGAAGACAGATGTCGGCATCTGCCGGAGAGGACATTACAGGGGACACTACAGGGGGGACATCGCGGGAGCGCAGGACAAGGTAAGTGAAGAACAGATCCCAGAGCAGCACCGCATGGTAAGCCCGAGTGTAGCTCGGGGTTACCGCTTTTGGTACTAAAACTTTACCCCGAGCTACACTCGGGAATACCGCCAAGGAGGCTACTGTTGTATATTGACTTATAATTGCAAGCAGTCTAATTTTCCTTTGTTGGCTTTGTTGTTGCTGGCTTTCGATTTTTTATTTATGTTATTTAGTAACACTTTAAGTTTCCTTGGCCGACTACTGTGTCTACATTCCTCAACATTGCCTGTTTCTTTGTGCCTCTTAAAAAGAACTTGAACAGCACATCATGAAATCACTGTCTGCTTTGAAATCTTTGCTTGGGACAGGCCTTGTCCATGCAGTATAAATATCTTAAGTCTTGTTGCTGTGCTTAGTCTTGCCTTGGTGTATGACCTGTGACATGAAACTTTCACAACCCCACCTTGGTAGCAAAGTTTGGCCATTCGTCACACACTTTTAAGCCTCCTATACAGCTGTTTCTGTTTCAGTTAATGACTGTGTTTTAACCTACATTGAAGATCATTAGCACCTTCCTGGTATAATTGGTTATTTATACACGTGACTCTAATTCCAAAAAATCCCTAACTTTGTGCAAGTGTAAGAGTTGATGTTGGTATGAAGCCAAAGGGTAGTCACACCAAATATTGATTTGATTTAGTTTTTAATTCTGTTTGTTCATTTAGCATTTGGTCAAGTTACCAGAAAGAAGCCTTTACTGTGCCAATGCCACAAAAAGCCCAGTTATATGCCCAACAACTAGGGTTGCCACCTCATCCCTTTAAAAACCACTTGGTAACCATGCTATAGCCGAATGACGGCTACAGTGCGGTTACCCAGTTCTGGGAGGTCATCATATGACGTCCTCCCAGAACGCACCCTCCAGCATGTCCCGAGGGGGCGCGCATCCCAGCAATCTCTGCTGTCACAGTGTGAGGAAAGTACTGCTGATAACCGACAGCTGTCACAGAGGAGATCGGCACTGATCATCAGGGCACTGATGATCAGTGCCCTGCAGTAACGCCCAGCAGTGCCACCCACCAGTGCCCAACAGTGCTACCCACCAGTGCCACCCACTAGTGCTTCCCACCAGTGCCCATCAGTGCCTTCCACCAGTGCCCTGCAGTGCCACCCATTAGTGCCCCCCAGCATTGCCACCCATCAGTGCCGCCAGTCAGTGCCATCAGTCAGTGCTGCCAGTCAGGGCTGTCAGTCAGCGCTGCCCATCAGCGTCACCTATCAGTGCCACCTATCAGTGACCATCATTGTGGCATATCAGTGCAGCATCATCAGTGCATCCTCATCATTGTCCACCCATGCCGCCTCATCAGTGCCACCTCATCAGTGCAGCCTATCAGTGCAGCCTCATCAACACACATTAGTGAATGAGAAAAACTACCTGTTTGCAAAATTTTATAATACAAAGAAACTTTTTTTCACATTTTTTGCTATTTTTTTGTTTATAGTCCAAAAAATAAAACACCCAGTTGCAATTAAATACCACCAAAAGAAAGCTCTATTTGTGTGAAAAAAATTATAAAAATTTCACATGGGTACAATGTTGTATGACCACGCAATTGTCATTCAAACTGCGACAGCTCTGAAAGCTGAAAATTGGCCTGGGCAGGAAAGGGGTATAAGTTCCTGCTAGGCAAGTGGTTAAAACCAAACCCATTAATTACACAGGTTATGAGGCTACTGTAATGCAGATAAGGCACTAAGTGAGTTTAATTACCACCTTTATTAGACACAGAACCTGGGTAATTAATGTGTGTTCAGTTTTAAAGCAATAAGGGGGCAACCCTATTGACAACACCTTGACACATCTCACCTGTTTTTTTGTGGCATTGACGCAGTAAAGGCTTCTTTCTGGCAACTCGACCACGCAGCTCATTTTTGTTCAAGTATCATTATATTGTGCTTCTTGAAACAACCACACCATCTTTTTCCAATGCAGCATGTATGTTTCCCGAGGTTACCTTTACCTGGATTTTTTTTGTATCCCGAACAATTATTCTGGAAGTTGTGGCTGCAATCTTTCTTGGTGTGCCTGACTTGGATTGGTATCAAGTGATGCCCAAATTTTTTTCGCTTCCTAATAAGTAATTGAACAATACTGACTGCCATATTCAAGGCTTTGGATTTCTTTTTATATCCTTTTCCATCTTTTAAAGTTCCAAGACCTTATTATGCAGGTCTTTGACAGTACTTTTCTGCTCCCCATGGCTCAGTGCCTTGCCTGCAAAGTGCATCCATGTGAGAGCTAACAAACTCATTGACTATTTATACACAGACACTAATTGCAATTTAAAAAGCCACAGATGTGGGAAATTAAAGTGATTCTAAAGGCTTTTTTTTTAAGGAAAAAAATAACAAACAGGTCATGCTTACCTGCTGTGTACAGTGGTTTTGCAGGCTCTCCTAGCCCCTCCCTTCTGTCCATTCACACTCGAAGCTGTGGCTCAGGCCCGCCCCCTCCCCCTCATTCTTTTAATTGGCTGTGATTGACAGCAGTGGGAACCAATGGCTTCCGCTTCTGTCTCAGCCAATGAGAAGAGGGAGTCCTGGGTAAGCTGAGACTCCAGTGCACATTGCTGGATCGAGAAGGGGCTTAGGTGAGTATTAGAATGCTTAGCTTAGGTGAGGGCATAGAATGCATGAAGGTAAAAGAACTTGAGCCTTTACAACCACTTTAACCTCTAATTGGCATGTTAACCTGTGTGTGTCACCTTGTGTGTCTGTACCGAGGCCAAACATTCCAGGGGATGGAAACTTTTGATCAGGGCCATTTGGGTGATTTCTGTTATCATTCTGATTTAAAAAGTAGCCAAACAACTATGTGATAATTGGACAGAGCGACAACATTTGTTTCATTTAGTTTCAGATCGATTGGTTAAGTTACTAATTTTGTTTTGTGGCATTTGTAACAAAATTAATGTAGTTTAGTCTTGTTTCTTTCATTTATTCGTTTTCTACTAGATTCCATTTTTTCCAATAGATTCTAAGAATTTGACTTGAATTTGAATCAAAATTATCAAATCGGTCTGAAGTAATTGTGAAAAATAGCTGGTTCTATTCTATTCAAAATTCAAATTTCGGAAGCCAGGTTTATTCTTTGTATTATATTTTTTTCTTCTGTTCTATTCTATTATTTTTTTATTCTAATTTTTTTTATTTTCTATTCTTTACTATTCCTTTATTTTCTATTCTATTCTTTTATTTTATATTCTATTTAATTTTACTCTATTCTTTTATATTCTATTCTGTTTTATTCAATTCATTTCTTTTTGAAATTTGAATTTCGAAAAGGCAGCTATATTCTCTTTTATTTTATCATATTCAAATTTCCAATAGATTCAAACTATTCAAATTAAATTTGAATCAAAAATATTGAATCAATCCAAATTCATTGTGAAGAATAGCTGGTGCTATTCTATTTGAAATTTGAATTTCAGAAGACGACTATATTCTTTCTATTTTATTCTATTCTACGCTATTCTCTTCTAATCTATTCTGTTTTTCTATTCTATTCCTTAAATGTCCATTCTATTCTTTTCTATTCTATTTTGTTTTATTCTTTGGAAGATGCTAAATCCTATTTTATTCTATTGTATTCAAAATACAATTTCCAATAAGTTCAAATCAATCAAACTTATAGCTATAAAAATAGCTGGTTCTATTCTATTTGAAATGAGAAATTTTGTATTTTGGAAAATGGCTATATTCTTTCTACTCTATTCTATTTATTCAATTCTGTTCTTTTAGTTTTCTATTCTATTCTATTATTTTCTATTCTATTTCATTCTATTCCATTCTTTTCTCATTTTGGAAGTTGGCTATATTCTAACACTATCAACAGCATTATGTTTATATTTTGAATTTGTTTTTTAATTATAATTCATTTTCAAATGCTATTCAAATTCTATTGAATTCAGATCATTCTTTATTTCAGACAAAAATTTTGTTTTGTTATTTAGGATTCGTTTAAATCCATTGCTACTGTAATTCGGAAATTCGGATTACGAAAATTTTGTCGAATCTCAATTTGGAACAAAACGAAGATGTCTAGTGATAATAAATGGCTTCATATAAACACTAGCCTTAAATAGTTTTTTGGCATGATCAGTCATATTTTCAATATCAATGCCAAAATGTCATGATTTCTGCAAGGGTTTGAAAACTTTTGAGCACAACTGTATGTCCAAATAAAGTAGCAAGCCCTACTCCCTACTGCCACTTCTCCCCCTGCTGCTTCTACTAGCAGTTCCTGGCTTTTAAAATGAGAGCCAGGATTTGCAGGGTAAAACAGCATTGTCTGCAGCCACTGCTGTCAAAAACAGAGCCCCCACATTTGACTGAAGTATTTGAACAGTGTTTGTAAACATAATGCAGAAATTCAATAGGGTTAATTTACTAAAGCTGGAAAGTGCAAAATCTGGTGCAGCTCTGCATAGCAGCCAATCAGCTTCCAGGTTTTATTGTCAAAGCCTAATTGAATAAGCTGAAGTTAGAAGCTGACTGGCTACCATGCACAGCTGCACTCTCAAGTTTTGGTAACTCAACCTCAATGAAACATTGATACTTTGTATTTATTCAGTTTCATTTATATAATTTGTAAAAGGGTGCCATTAGATCTGCCTATGCTGCCAGGTAAAACAACCTTATTTATTTATATTTTTTAAACAAAACGTGTTCCTATTAAGTTATCATTTTCTGCATTTTTTTCTATTTGATAAACTGTTAGTATTATTTTTTTTTTGTTTGTTTTTATATGTTTTAAGTTTTTTTGGGAAGATGTTGAATTAAAAAAAATAGCAAAATTTAAAAAAAAGTCCCTTAATTAATTTGTAAATAATTTTGCATTGCTGTGTACCAGAATTGTAATTCTAGTGCCATTCCATATGGGCCAAATCATGGCATAATATTTAAACTTTTATCTACAGAAACATTCTTTTTTTCTAACTAACACTGATCAAAGTAGAAAAGAAAACAACTTTTTTAAGTTTTTGTATCCAAAAGTTGCAGATTAAAGATTTTTGCAAGAAAATATCAATATAAAAAGCTTGTAAATCCAGAGAAAAACAATATATGCATTACTATGTTTTCAAAAATAATGATAATATATTTGCCAAATAAACAGACCAAAATCAGAAATGTAAAAAAATGCTCTGGGCCATAAGGGGTTCACAGAGCTGAAGTGAATAAAAGTCCACCACCATGCATGAAATACATAGGTGATTTTTCCTCATCTCATGACCTCCAAATGCAGTGTAGGTGCATGGAGAGCTGCTGGCTTTATGTTAGTACAAGTCCAGGCATGCATATTAGTTTCACAAAGCCGTTAATTCTCTCTCTTTCTTTTTCTATAAATATATATATTTTTTTTTTTTTAGATTTTTTTTTATTTGCATAAAGTTTATAAAACTAGCTCAACAGAATATTTTAAAATGACACTGCCTGAGTTTTATCTGCAATATTTTGTATGTTCTTCTGCTTTTTCCCTAGGTTCACACTTATGCGGATTTCAGTGTATTTTCCCACAGCAGGTTGCATTTTGCATGTAATAGGCTTCAATGGACCCGCACCAAAAACGCAAGTTTTGCATTCTGATGCCTTTTGCTGTTGTTTTTTTTTCTTAATTGGAAAGTATGACAATTCTGTTCATGTAATGCAACTTTGATGCTACTTATGTGCCAGTTACAGTGTAAAGTCACATCTAAATCATATCAGCTTCATACTACATGAAGAGAACTGTCATACTTTCCAATTAGCAAAAAACAAACAAATGCAAAATGTGCCAAAAACACGTGTTGAAAAACGCAGGAAAAATGCATTTAACCACATCCAGCATAGATGTGAGCCTAGTCTTTATGTGGATTTTTCTCTGGATCCTCCTACAACCCAAATACTTATTGGTAAGTTGTTTTGCTTTCGTATGTGCCTGTATGACTGTGGTAGGCAGATTAGATTTTATAAACAAGCATGAGCAAATGAATGCTGAAACTCCTGCACTGAACGATGAGCTCCACAACAGGGGCGGCCTGACCATT